AGAGAATGATTTGGTAAGAAAAACGGTTAAAATTATCAAATTAGAATTTAGTCTACGAATAGGAAATACTCGGCCAAAAATTCTACGACTGTTGAGACTTAACAGAATGATTATTATGTCGGTTACGTGAAGACACTTTAATCGTTTACTAAAATTATCAGTTTCAATTTATGCATAGCTAAAACACTCATGTATTTCACATGATAACAAATCTGTTTCTGCATTTCAGGGCAACAGAAGATCTTATTAGAATGATAATGATAATATTTTTTCTCCCCTGTTCTATTAATGCTTTTCGGTAGAGGATGCGTTGAAGAAGAGATGGAAAGCGGTGCAAGCAGCAATACTCGTAATGAGGGCTGTACCAGTACCACCACCACCGTATCCAAGGACTGTTCATGGTTCAGTCAATTTCGCAATGCGTCGAATCCTTGGATGGCAAGATATGCCTATGGCTTCATTTTTCTAGTCGCAAATCTGTTGGCCTGGGTAGCGCGAGATTATGGTCGGGGCGCTTTGACAGATTTGGAGAGTAAGATTTGCCTAAATTCACTGCCTGTCATGTTAACACCATATCATCTAGTTTTCCACTACTTCTTGCAGTATCAGTTCACATCCTCGATTTTTTCATTACTACTTCATCTCAATGCATGCTTATCTTAGAGCCGACTTTCTGTGAATCAAATAATGCAATTAACTCTCAGAAGTTCCCAACTATTGAATATCTTGATGCTTGCTCATTATGATACTTTGGTTGATGACCAGAGTGGTGAAGCCAGTATTTTATTTCTAAAACTATAAACAGCATTATTATGTTCAACATTAGTAAATCGGATCCTTTTCTTTATGTTAATAAAACCTGCACTTCAGTCCAAAGCTGTCTTCGTTTGAACCTTTCGCTTTCTTAATTCTTTTGATGCCAATACCCAATAGCTCAAGATGTCATATACACATTGCAGGGTTGAAAGGATGCGACGGTGGCAGAGACTGTCTGGGTGCAGAAGGTGTTTTGCGTGTGAGCTTCGGCTGTTTTGTATCCTTAGCAAGAAACATAGCTGACGAAGACTTTGCGTAAGGTTCGAGTGGATTGAAAGAAAAAAAAAAAAAAAAAAAAAAGCCAGAAGGTCGTCTTGTCCTTTAAATGCTGTGAAATTTAATAAAATACTCTGAAGCATGAAAAACAAACAAACAAAATTTGTACGAGTGAATTATTTATTTTTGATCTATTTCTACCGCTTTCTTTTTATGACATATTCTGATGTTCGCGCATCATAATCACCTGGTAATTTATGTCTATTAAGAACGCAAAACCAACGAAGACTCCTAGTCAAGGAGTTCAATAACTAGCAACTTAACTCAAGCTTCAGTCTTAAAATCTCCGTGGTGATCCTTAATCCTTGATCAGATATTTTTTATCACGATGTTTTTTTCAACCGCCGGCACTTCTAAATTGAACGTACCCAGGGATTCATGGCACTCAGGGTGGTGGACGGTTAAGCTGGTTCTCTGGGCAGTGATGACAATCTTTCCGTTTCTACTTCCGTCTGGGCTTATTCAGCTCTACGGTTGGTCAATAGTATATTTGCAATAAGATTCATAGTATCCTCTGTGATGTTAAAGGTCGCTAATGTATCCTTCCTTATTCTTGTGTTGCAATTTTGTTGGCAGGGGAGATTGCTCATTTTGGTGCCGGGTAAGTTTGTGCCTCGTATAAATAATTTTCGTCATATAATTTCTTGAACTGATGACTGATAAAAGATTTCTGTGTTTTTTTTCCCTCAGGGTCTTTCTCCTAATTCAACTAGTAAGCATAATCAGCTTCATTACGTGGTTGAATGATTGTGTGTGTCTGAAAAATATGCAGACAGATGGTAAGAGTTTCTTGCTTAATGAACTTAACGGAATTCCTGAGCATGAACAATTTGGGATTAATGTAATAACTATGTAAACATTGATGTTATTAGACATTTAAACAAGACATGTTCGGTCATACTTGGGCATTATTATTATGACCTGGTTCTGAAGAGAAAGTAGGAAGCTTTCTAAAAGTATATCAAAAATCCATGTTAGCCTTCTAGAAGAATTGGAAGCTCTCAACTGTCTAGAGCGTACTTGATGCTTGTGAATGGCTATTTAAGCATTAAGCTTTACGTGGCGAGCGGTAGGAGCGCGAATAATAATTTATTTACTAAACAATATGGTAGCTAGGATAGGAGAACAAAATTAAACTGTCTGTTGTTCATTACTGTCCGGTCCGTTTGTATCGGTTGCAATACATATAAATATAAGTTGACAAGTTTAGGATAATATCATTACTAATATGCCTTTAATCATAAATGTTATGCAGCCAAATTCATGTGATATTATTCGCAACTACTGCGTATGTTATCTGCTTGGTGGGGATCATTTTGATGTACATTTGGTATGCACCACAGCCATCTTGCCTCCTGAATATTTTCTTTATTACTTGGACACTAGTGCTTCTCCAGCTCATGACAAACGTGTCCCTGCACCCAAAAGTAAGTTCTACTTCTCACTGTGTTTGCTGGTTCATACCTTTCTCGGCCTTTTGGCTAAGATTAAGATCAAGTGTGTTTGCTGGTTCTATTCATCTTATACTACAATATGACGGGAATTTCTGAATTTCCCCGATATAGGTGAATGCTGGCATTCTAACTCCAGGGCTGATGGGGCTTTATGTTGTATTCCTCTGCTGGTGTGCCGTTAGAAGGCATGACGACTACTACTCTCCTATAGTTTTCAACCCTTTTGTCTTACCTAATAATAATCCCTCTCCATGCTGGAAAATTCTTAAAGAAAGACACCTGATTTAAGTGAAATATTTGTATTTTTTATTTCTAGTTCTTCATTGTTTTGGTCATATTTGTGTCTGCAGTGAACCAGATGGAGAAAACTGCGTCAGGAAGTCAGACTTTGCGGCCAAAACAGACTGGTTAAGCATAATTGTAAGTACTAATCCATGCTTAAACGATATTTGTACTTTGTACTTAGTTCTATTATTATAGTTGTGAACTTTGTAAGGTGTGTGTATATCTATCACTTTTGTTAAATTCTTTCTTGATGAAGGCTTGGTAGTGCTAATTTCTACAGCTTTCCAATACGTGATCTCGTACTTCTTTGTGGGCTGACTTGCAAAAAATAATTCTGTTGACAGAGCTTTATTGTTGCAATACTAGCAATCGTTATTGCAACATTCTCGACGGGCATCGATTCCAACTGCTTCCAGGTTAGTTACAGAATTAGAACTGAACTTGAATTTTGAATTAGGCTCTCCGGTTCAAATCTGACAGAGAACCCTGCAGTTCAGGAAGGATGACACCCCGCCAGCAGAAGATGACGTCCCCTATGGCTATGGCTTCTTCCATTTTGTGTTCGCCACAGGAGCTATGTACTTCGCAATGCTATTAATTGGATGGAATACTAACAGTCATCATGTAATGAGGAAGTATGATCCCACCCCCTCCGGTTGGTCTATCTAATTACCAATTTAATGCACAGCATGATGAAAAATAAGCATTTACGCTTCTTTTTTTTTGGGAAAATAATCACGTACACTTTAGTGGCCACGGTTACTAGTAATGTAGCTTCCGTCAAGTACTGAATATGTTATTTAGACGATTTAGATTCCAGCACCACACTAGAAGCCTATAATGGCCATCAATCATGCCACCAACGTAAATGTCCTGAACCATATCATGTTATACTTGTGGAAAGCTTCATCAGAGCATTCATGAAGGATCCATAAATAACATTCAATGCCTTTTTATCCTTCTGCAGGTGGACAATTGATGTGGGCTGGACCAGCACCTGGGTCAGAATTGTAAATGAATGGCTCGCAGTCTGTGTTTACTGTAAGTATTTTTGTTCAGTGAGGACCCACGAATTTTAAATTTGCAGCGAAAGATGCAATGCACTAACTTATTCTATGTAGTTTTTAGTACAACCGTGGCACATAATTAAAGGAGCTTTTTATTATTATTATTTTTAACAGTGTGGATGCTGGTTGCCCCCATCATATGGAAGAGCCGACAAGCTAATGCTACATAAAAAAAAAAAAAATTTTAAAAAAATTCCTAACCTACCCGTTCATGCTAGCTGAGATTCTTTTTATCGTCCCTTTTGGGTTGAAGACTTGGATGTTGAAATTACCCCATAGAGAACGCAATGAACTCCTCCAGCTCTGCCAGATAGGAAATTCTCCGTCAGAAGCACTGGATCCGGGGACATAACCCTGAAGGATATCCAATTTATTTCCCGGTGAGGATATACAGTCTTCTTCTCACTCGATCTCAAGGACTACGAAGAAAATACGCTTCTCAACCTGTTCGTGTTACTCCTGAGATAAAGATTCAGGGATGCTTGCATCATAATTTGCTTAGGAAGTTTCATTGCTGGCTCCCTTGCAAAAGAGAAGCATATTTTGGCGTCTCTGGTGAGAAAGGATATTGTAATCAAGTATAGGAAATTTTGTCCTTTTTTTTTAACGTGCAGCACATGCTCCCTGGGAGCATTCATCACATAGAATAGTGATTTTTCGTTTAAAAAGTGGATTCCCAGGATCCGCTGTGTATTATGTATTTTACCCACATAGGAACGGACTAAGGAATACTGTGGTGTTACAAAGACTTGAACTTGACTATAATTTATCGGTCACACTATATCATACATCATCATGTCATATATTTGTACAATGCAGCAAAACATGAAACAACACAGCTGCTCAGCACCATCGACGCTACTATTGCAAATGTCCATGATTGCACCCCAAAAAAAAATTGTGAGATATCCACAGGGTATAATTTTACTGTTTACCGCATAGAGGTCATAGGCTCTTTCCTACATGATTCCTTTACGTGAAGAAAGTAGACAAGGCACCTTTCTATATAAAAAATTACATGGCCAAGGCAGATATTGTTCTTCGACACCCCCCCCCCAAAAAAAAAAGAAAAGTAAATCACTAATCTCTCCCTTTCTCTCTGTTTTTCTTTTCTTTCTCTCTCTTTGCACTTGTGGTTAGCTATAAATGACAGAGGGTGGAAAACCGCAAACCTCTAGTTTGTACAGAGAGCAAAAGATGGTGCTTGGGTTGAGAACTTTGGTGGCCTTGCAGAAACGTTCTTAGCATCATCCAAATGGATTCCGTCCTGCAGAAGAGAGATTTGAGGAAGCAGAGGCTGAAAATGTACCAGAGAGATGCTGATTCAAGTTTGAGAAGCCAAAAGCGGCTCCCTCAGCACCAAAGCTCCCAATTTCTTGATGCCTGCACGTGAAGTTAAAAATATCAAAGAGGCATTATGAATTTTAACACTACGCCCATACTTAAATTGATCCTCGCACAAATTAGTTCACAGACCAAGACAAGTAAAAACTCCAAAACTCTCAACAAGCACAATACCTAACAGATTAACTGTACCCTGTAAAATGAGCTTCCAACAGAAAAGAAGCAGCCTAAACAAAACAAAGAAAAAAAACGTATGAATAATCATAATCAAATAGTTTTACCTTGGCATTGCCATGTTCGTTTGCACTAGTTGCCCCATGTAAGGTCCTGAGGTTTTCAAAACACAGGTCAACATACAGGGGAGAAAAAGGTGGAATAACCTCAGCATGAATCATGAAATAATTAACAGAAGAGTGATAGATGGATTAATTTACTTGTTGTCATTGCTGATGGATGAGGCTGCATTTGTTGGGGTGGCATTAATCCGTACCCAGGTGGATTCCACGCAAGTGATGGATTACTTAGGCTTAAAGGAGGCATTAAACCTGAAGTTGATACCCCTGGCAGAGCACCTTGCAAGGATGATCTCAAAGCAAACTATACCCAAGGAACACCAACCATAAAAGCATTACCCAAAAATTTTTAATACTGATAAGCTGATTATCTAGTTATACTTTCTCTGGTTCTTAATACAAGACATAGTTAACTAATTTGGAGATATTAAGAAAGTTAGCTAAGCTAGTTATTTATAATAAATAGATGTTATCTTATCTAAAATACTCTTATTAATCATATATGTTTAAATTACCCATTGATAGTAACTCTTTAACATATCAACTATTATAGGGATTACTTGAGAGCAAAATAGATATAAATATAAGAGACAAAGTAGATTAAAATCCTATATTTAGGACCAAATTGAATATCAAACTAGCTCTTATATTAAGAACTAGAAGTGATATATAACATGAAATCCATAGGAAGTTGCAGTGTTCATAAGCTATTAACAATGCAATTGACCTCAAACTCCATGCAAAGCACAGACTCACAATCTAGTTATAATAAAATTTTTCACCATAAACAGGCAACAACACAAATTTTGAATTTCAGGTTCTCCATATCATCCACTAAGTGAGACATTAGAAAGTCAGCATGCCTCTGTTCCAGCTTAGTAGATGCATAATGATCACAAGGAAGACAACAACAACAAGCCTTATCCCACTAGGTGGGGTCGACTACATGAATCACATGACGCCATCGTACTCTGTCAACAACCCAGTCCTTAGATATGTTGTTGACTATAAGGTCTCGTTCAATGACTTCATTAAGCGTTCTTCTTGGTCTTCCTCTGTTCCTTTTTATGGGACTCCATCTTGTCTGATCCACCCTCCTCACCGGGGCCTCCAATAGCCTTCTCTGCACATGTCCAAACCATCTTAAGCGATTTTCAACCATTTTCTCTTGGATAGGTGCCACACCGACTCTTGCTCTGATATTTTCATTTTGAATCCTATCTTTTCTTGTATGACCATACATCCATCTCAACATCCTCATTTCTGCTACCCCAACTTTGTGCTCTTATTTTCCCTTTATTGCTCAACATTCACTACCATACAACATAGCCGGTCTTATAACAGTCCGATAAAATTTTCCTTTAAGTTTCTCAGGTACCTTCTTATCGCAAATAACTTCGGTAGCTTTCCTTCACTTTAACCAGCCAGTTTGTATTCTATGAGAAACGTCTCCATCAATTTCCCCATCCTCCTGTATAATGCATCCTAGGTATTTAAACTTTGATACTTGAAGCATGATTTGCTCCCCCATCTTCACCTCCAAATCCCTATTCTCTTGCCTCCCCCCAAAATCACAATGCATATATTCTGTTTTGTTCTTGCTCAAGCGGAAACCTTTCAACTCCAACGTCCTTCTCCATAACTCCAATCTAGTGTTAATCTCTTCTTTTGATTCCGCCATGAGAACTATATCATCCGCGAAAAGCATGGACTTAGGAATTTTTTCTTGAATAGGTTCAGTTAGGACATCCAGAACAATGTTGAACAAATACGGACTCAGAGGATCCCTGATGTAGGCCAATCTGAATAGGGAAGTCCTTTGTCTCACCTCCAGGAGTCCTTATACTAGTAGTTACCCCCTCATACATATCTTGTATGGCTTTGATATAAGCAACCCGTACACCTTTTTTTTCCAAAGCTTTCCACATTACTTCTCTTGGCACACGATCGTAAGCCTTTTTCAGGTCAATAAAGACCATATGTAAATCCCTTCTTTTACTTCTATATCTTTCCATTAACCCTCTTAGTAAATAGATTGCTTCCGAAGTGATCATAAGGAAAACGAAGAATAATTTTCCCACATTCACCAAACGCACGTTCATATCATTGATAGGCATGCTCCTCTAAAGTGCAGGGTTCTTCCGAATTAATGTACACAAGTAACCAAATATTCAAAAAAAATAAAAATAAGAAAGCTTCTAGAACAATGACTCAATGGTGGAGAAAATCCAAATCATACCATTGATCCTTCACAAATGATTTTTCCAAAATAACTATCTTCTCTAAACCGTACCAAAGACTCTAAAAGAAGCAAATCCCCATTCGGCACTCAGTGGTTTAATTCAAATCTCTTGTATGACCTACCATACATGGACAAAATTATGTAGTTTTCACAGGTCTAAGATATTAAGTATAGTAATATTATTCTAAAATAACGGAGGTCACATACAGCTGTGGTTTGAACTGGTGGTTCGCCAATATCAAATGGATTTGTTGATTTTGATGGTCGCTGAAGACTTGGCATGGGCTGTAAAATAGTAGGCATTCATATGAGAGATGCCTTGCACAATTGTGTAAGCCGCAGATTGAGAGATTAAACTTGTATGCTAATGTAGTTGGTTTGCAATAGCATTACCACAGCATTATATGGCATTGAGGTTCCCATCCCATGAGAAGGAATCATTTGCCACCCCGGAACTGCAGCAGGAAAGTAAGAATACTTTACAGTAAAAAGATCCTGCAGATGTTTATAAGCTATAGTAAGTAATACTGTACATAGCACACATCCATGCAAGTGTACAAGGTAGATGCCTTTTGAAATACAATAAGGAGGAAAAGTACCTCAGGAAGTTCTTTCCTTCCACTTGGTTTTACTTCTAAAGGCGATCCTGAAGCCGCATTAGAGCTAGTCTCAGTGGCAGGCTTAGAGATAACATGGGACACATGTAGCAGTGACATGTTTGGATGGCCTTGCATTGTTGGTGCTGGAGGTATACCCCATGGCTGCAGGATATTTCCACGAAACAAGAAGGTGAACAAATACTACATCTACATAACATAAACAGAATGTTAGAGAATAAGCCCTGCCTGATTATTTAATGCTCCTGCTGGTGGTGATGTAGACTGATAATTTGAAGACTGACCAACATTGGGAGGGAACAAAGGCTGCAGATGGTGTGACGCTAAAGCACTATTGGATGGAATAGGCGCAAAGGTGCTGATAGGTGCAGCTCCAACAACAGTAGCAGTAAGAGATGGTGCTGGTGCAGGCCCAGCAGGTGAAACAGATAAGTTCCCAGTTCTTTGTAATGTCATAGTGCTCCCAGGAATGGGTACTACAACACTGGAACTATGCTGGACTTGAGAAGCATGAGCTGGTGGTGATGATGATGATACTGACAATTGGGAAAGCATGGATTCTAGTGAATTTACATTTGAAGGAGTTTGAGTTGCTTTCACTTCTGGGGGCACATCAAAAGAGGCCCAATTGTTGACATCACTGGAATTTGGTTGCTCCACAATGGATTGGGCAATAGTTTGTTGGGCGTGTGTAATTGCTGGAGCCAGAGGAGGCTCAGGCTCAGCACCAAAATCAATAAGACTCTTAGGGGTCTCAAGCTTAGCTTCTGCAGGGTTTCCAATGTTGGATGTCAAGCTACTGGAACATACAGTCCTCTGCAAATTATAAGCAGTCAGTTATGGTTATATAATTTATAATTTGAAATCATCATTGATCACCCTACAGTACAAGTATACAATGGGAAGAAAAAGACAATGAGAGGTCAAAATGTCGTAATAACAGGGAATGGGGCAATAGTTGATGTTCATGCAAATAGGTAATTCCAATTTTTAATAGATGGTAAAAGAAAAGATCAACTCATGCAGGGGATGAAAATAAATCCACTTGTAACCAACAGTATATAAAGTAAGCAATTTTTTTAAAATGTAGAAATAGAAATAGAAGCATTTATTATGAAAGAACTGCCTCAATTTTTAGCATGGATACAATTGGGCGATATTTCACATTTTAGTGTTTAACATTAAAATATAATATTGCACTCATACATAACAAATGGTAAACATGGTAAACCAAAAGCATCACGCTTACTGCATAGTTACACAAAATAAACATAGTTGCATACATAACAAAACCCATTTTGAATGCACCAACGCCTCATCCATATTAAACACAAATCAACCAGTTACCTATACTGCGTAAAATTTCACTCCAAATTCAAAGGGAAGAAGTGGCTACTAAATATTGTTGGACAAGATGTCTGCCATGGAAATCCTTAGCTCTTTATATAATAGAATATAAAATTCCATAAGTTGAACCAAGAAGTTAACAAGGGGGGAAAAGCCTGATAAAATATAAAGTCTAGTGAGATACTGAAAGCTAATGATCAACTTTAATATACTAACAAATTGTAGGCGGAAGCTCAGCACTGATTAACACTTAACAAACTCTAAACTAGCAGTAGGTCTTGCATGGGGCCCAAATGGCTAAATCATATGGAACGTCATAATACTAAATTCACCTGTGTGAGAGCTGAGCCATCATTAGCTTTTTTACTATTCGTTTCAGAGGGTTTACTCATTTGAAGAGACGCTGCATTTTCTCCCAAAATATCTCTAACAGACCGAACCACAGGTGGGCTTGAGGAATCCGGGTTGTTGGCTTGCCCAGGCAATTGGCCTTCCAGCTTATAATCTCCATCAGATACCATACGACCTTCAAACCTCCTTCCATCTCCAAATCTATCTTCTTGATGCCAATCATTGATCGGAGGATGACTAGGATTTCTCTTATCATTACTGTACTGCCTACTTTCTTGATCATACCCAGGACTTCTTCCACCCGGACTAGAGCTGTCACTATATCGGTGTTTATATTTGTCATCATATGGTGGACTTTTAGGATCACCCTGATATGATTGAACTCTCGAGTTTACTGAGAAATTATCCTTGTCACCCTGGACAACACGCAATGCAAGAAAGGAGACATAAATATAATGGAAAGGCCCAGAACTTTATAAAGTAAAAGCATGTACTTGTTAAAGTTCAATTTTAAACCAAATGTTTTATCTCTTCCAAAAACAGTGAATACAAACTGGGGATAAATGGGACTTTACTGTATTTACTCTCTGTGATTTGTCATAGGTCCTCTCACCAGTGAATCTTTTATCCACATAAACTTGTTTAATAAAGTTGCGGAGCCTGCCAACATTACTGACACAAAACATGCCAATCAGAACAATGCATCTGGCAATTATAACAGATTACAGGCAAATAGTTACCTGTTATCAGGGAGAGAATGGCTTTTTGGGTCCCATTCTTTAAAATAAACTTCCTTTGCATGCTGCGAGAATCAGATACAGCCAAAATCAATCAATGAAATGGAATTCTGAAGTCCACTATAAGTACAAACAAGCCTTTATACCTGATTTCCTCCTTCCTGAAGTGCACTAACTTCTTGTGAAGTGAACTTGGCCATCGATATTGACTTTACTCTATGCGTAAATTCCCGGCTGGAAATTGACACAAAAAGTAATTGGCTTTCAGGTACAGTGTATTCAGCAGAAAGGAGACACCATGCTATGATTAGACATAGCTAAAGTAGAAGCACAAGCAAAATACATGAAGAGCATGCAAACCATAAGCACATGACAAAGATCAAGTCCGCGCTACAAAAAAAATATGAAAGCCACTTTTAAGAACTTGATTAACACGGAACACAAAAAATATTGCAAGAGACTAAGGGCTTACTGTATCCCACCACAGGTTGTGCAAACAAACGTCATGAAATTTGTGCACACATATTGTGGCCCCTGCTTGGATGAAAAAGAAAATTAAAAAATTGTGTTAGTGAAAAGGATCGGTCACAATGCTATTTCTAAAATAAAATTTCTGTATACATATGGTAGAAGAAGCTGGTTAGAAATTAATACTACTTAAATATGTCCACAGACCACCTGAAGAATGTAACGGAGTTGAAAGCAGTAAATTATTTGGAACTTTTAAAGAAGGAAAACACAAAATAGAAATTTTATGAACTTATTTTGGAACACGTTGGAGCAAAGATTTAAATCTCCTGCTGACTACCCTGCCAGTGTTTCTACTGAAGAGACAACGGCATAATCTTAATGACTGCTGCAATGTATTGCTTCTATTCCACCAATATATTTTCAGCAGCAATAAGTTGGATGATAATTTACAGAATTACAGAGTTTGGCTGAATATAGCTACTTCTAATCAATGTCATTTATAATCTTATAAATATCAAAGCGATGGAAAATGGAAATATCACGTGCATGACTTTTGATTTTTATTTTTTTTGGGGCCAGCAACGTTAATGACTTTTGGCTACTAAAACAATGTAAGAAGCACATGAGAGTTATTTTACCAGACTGTCGCAATTAATACATCTTCTGTTCGCTGGAAGTTTGAGAAGACCTCGAATTATTCGCTCATTCTTCTCATCTTCCTTCAGTCGATTTGCCATCTCTTCTGTCAAAATGAAACGATTGTCATATTACAGAAAAATCCGTAAACGCTCACTTCAGCGAAATTTCCTACCAAAAATGATCATCAAACTTCATTAACTTGCTAGAAAAGTAAAACCGGCGAACTAAGGAAAAACTCCATGATTCTAAGCTCATCATCATTCATGCACTTAATTTAACCAAACCAATGAATATACAATGGCATCAAGCACTCAAGTCCATAAGACTCACAGTAAATTCGTTTATATGCAATAGTAATGCAGGGAGAAATTTAAAAACTCTGTTATGCCTTTTCTTAGCGATCAACGTTCAAATGAAAACAACACAGAAATGAAGCAAAATTTCCGAAAGCATCACACTCAACTAAGAAAAAACAAAAGGTGGACTGGTTTTGCATGAAAAGAAGAGGAGGCAACGGAAGGGAAGAGTTGAGGAGATGAAGTGCAAATCAAACTAACCTCAATTTAACTGAATACAAAGAAATACTTCAATTGGCTGCAGCTTTTTCATCAGCTGAAGAAGACGGCGTCCAAACGATCCACAGCCACTTCACAAGCGGAAAGAGAGAGAAAGAATAAAAGATCTTTCTGAGTTGGAAATCACGGCTTTGTACAGCTCAGGGAGGTTTTAGCCAAACTCAGCTTCTTTTCTCTCTCTCTATGAAAATGTTATGAAAAAGGCAGGGAGATAGATGAGGCGAAAATTCTGTGTGATACTTTAACGGTGTAATGATCCTATGAGAATGACGTGTCTCTATTTTATGGCATTGATCATTTCGTTGAACTTCTAAGAACGGTCCGCGGTCAGATGGTGTAGTCATAAATGGCGCCTCTATCTCCATTCAAGCCAGCTTCTCTCAATTCTCTGCAAATCCCTTTTAATTTCTGGGAGGTGTTTATTTGAATTTTTATTTTATTCTTAAATTTTAAATTTTAAGATATAATTATTAATTTTTTAATAATATTCCAATCAAATGAAAGACATTAAAAGAAGAAGGAATTAGAATCAAGTCCTGCAGAAGAGAAATAATTACTAAAAAATCTAAATAACAACTTCAACAACTTATAATGACAAGTCTTATAGTAAGAATGATAATTTTGGGACTTGTTTTTCAATTGTTCTTCTTGCTTGAGACCTCATTATAATTCTCTCTTAAAAGAAAAAAAAGATAGTCAATATTTAAAACTACGATATATTCAAGTTCTCCGGTCACACTACGTATTTTTTTTTTTGAGATATTAATATTTAATAGCATTTAATTATAAATTTATTTAAAAAATAGGAGAGATGATCAAGTATTTTTTTATTTGAAATATGGCATTAATCAGATAAAAGATAGAACTTAAAAATAATTTATACATAATATATGGACTTTAATTTTCTTTTTATTTGTGTGGTTTTTCCAGTGGGGTCAAGTAAATAGACAAATCAAGAATAAGATAAGGGGAAGTATGAAATTAGATTGTTTGACCAGAACATTTCTTAATTTCTAGAAACATCGTGACATGGAAAACCCCCTCTTATATATTCCTTCCAATTAGTACTGATCAGAGAAGGTTCTCTTTGCTATTTATATAAGTAAGGTATATTAAGGAAACTCAGTTCAAAGTAATCCCCACATCAAGCTTACAAGCATTGAGTTACTTTGTTAAAAAATAAATTATAATAAACAGTATTTATTAGAGAAAATCATATATTTAGTCCTTTTAATTTCATGCAACATTTAATTTTAATCTCTGAATTTTATTAAATGTCTTCTTTTAATCTTAATCTTAATATTGTTAACTGAAAATGCTAACATTGAAATTTTAAATGTTAAAAATACTTTCAAATGCTAAAATATTAAGTGTGATTTTCAAAACAACAATAAATATTACAAAAAAAATATCATTTGAAACTAATGATGATAAGGTCAGAAAAGACTTTTTTTTTTTTACCAAGTAACCAAATTAAAATGTTGTCTAAATTTAGAGAATTAAAAAAATGCACTTTTACTTATTATATGAGCTGTCAATTGTCAATGGCTTTGTATCCTAATGAATAATAACATGAAAACTTACAAATTCACATTTTAGGGGGAAAAAAGAGCTATCCCTGCTAAAGGGGTGTTTGGATACTCTGAAAAGTGCTTCTCAAAAGCACTTTTCCGTAAATCGAGATAAACTCCTCTACATATTTACCTCGTAGATCATAAAATCACTTCTGAAACTATAATTTGGTTTTTATCCAAACACCTCCTTAAGCTCCCTATCATACAATTAGACCTAGTAAACTAGCTAGATATCAAATACTACGTCTTAAAATTTAAAAAAAAAAAAAAGGTTGCATGTGAGTTTGAAGCTGATTATTATTCAATTTAGGCAAAATTTAGGTGGACTCTCATCACATGCATGAAAATTAAGAAAATGGCTACGTTATTGACAAAAGGGTGCTTAAAATGTGTGATATTAAATATAAAATTGAAAGCATGTTACATCTTTTTTTTTGACAAAATTTTAGGAAAATGGTTAATTAATCCGTAATCACAGCTCTATCCAGTACCATAGCTTAAATTGGGACGAGGGTGTTGTTTAACGAGCATGTTACATTGCTTGTAAATCATGAATGATGTAATTTATTATTCAGATTTCTCATAGTAATTTTAAAAATAAAAATTAAAAAGAAGAGAGAAGAAGAAGAAGAAAGAAAAGGAGGGGTGTGGCGGTACAGACCGATTGGATCCCGTGACAACGTTGGGCCTTTTAAGCGATGTGACCAATTCAACGCATTAGACTTGTATGAGATGGAAGCTCATCTCCAAGGTCCTATTCTTTTGTCGTCCTTTCTAATAAACTGAAGCTTTTTCTCAACGAGGTTGGGTCCCATGAAAAAAACTAACTTCTTATAACATAATAAATTAAAATTCTAATTTTTACTAAAAAAAATATTCGTGTTTAGTGCCTGATTATTTCTAATAAAAAAAGGGTAATATAATTTTTTATTACCTCAAATTTACTCTCATTTTAGTTTTAATTCTCAAGTTTTAAACTATATGTTTTGATACTTTAAGGACAAAATATTCAGATTTTTATTAAATTATAGAGATTAATATTTTAAATAAAAAAAGTAAGAGATCAAGAATTATAATTTAAGATTTAAGAAACAAAAACTAAAATGAAAACAAATTTAAAAAATCTAAAATTATATTAATCCAAACAAAATCCATATATACTTAGGAGAAAAAATAAATGATGGCGCTCGATGAAAAGAAGGGAATCTAAATACGGCGCTGGGGGGGAGGGCAGGGGTTAACGAAGAAAGGCCGACAGAAATGCTGCAATATCTGGGATGTTTGGTGAACAGTCTAATCTTGTTTATGAGACCCCCACGCTCAGTATGATCAGCATACGTATCCGTATTTCTTGTTGCTATTTCTTCTGCTTCTCTCTCTTCCTGACACTTTCCCTCAGCCTTTTCAACCTCACTCCCGCTTCTTCTGATCCCCTTCTATAGTTCCATCTCCCTCCTGCACTGAGCACTGTACGCATGTGAGGTGGGAAAGATGGGTTTGAACAATTGGGACTTCCCAAATGATGGTTAATTTGGTTATTGGAAACAGATTCCCTAATCACATTACCAAAAAGAAAGGTCTTGTTGGAGACGTTAGGGATTATATAATGACTATATAATTACGAGAAGATGTGCAAATAAAGTTATAGTAGACATTCAAATTTTAGTAGCTCACTTAGCTTGTGTTTAGGTCCTTTAGGAATACGCTGCCAAGCCCTAATCTGACTCTGACCCTCAAAAAGTCACTTAAGTCCAAATTTTGGTTTGTGATAATTTTCAGATAAAAAAAATTAAAAAAATCTTCTACCAAGCTTTAAAATTGAGGCAACTTTTTATTACTTCAGGCTTATTTAGAATTATTTATAAATACATTTTTAATAATAATTTATAGAATAAAAATAAATATATAAAAAGAATTTGTCTCAACTAACATGAAATGTGATTATACAAACAATTACATGAGCAAATCCTTCTAATGTGGCATGTTGCCTTTCTCCCTCGTACTACTCTTCCAAGTCACTTCTCTCGGTATATATGGGACTAAATTGTCAATAATCTTGTGACCACATAAAAAAAATTTTATAAGTAAAATGTTGTGAGTTTGATCCCCTTATAGCTTCAAATTGTTGATTGTCAACGCTTATCCTTTTAAATTAAAAAAGAGAGAGAGAAATTCTCATCGGGTCTTAAAGAAAGGATTTTATTACTTAAAAGTTCAGCAACAACTGAAGAGTATGTAATGAAAAATTTCAAAGAGCATGCAATGATAAATTTCAGTATAAAAATAACAATATGTTTATATTAATCACTTTATTATTGGGATTCTTGGCAAATTAAACCCTTCACAGTAGTTATCTGAAGAAAAAAAAAAAAAAAGCGACCAAATATTCAATAATAATTAAAACGGTGACCCCATGGGCCTCAGGGCCTCCAATAATGCAGGCCTGCAGGGCCTCATGTCCCATCACGTTGTCCTGCCACTCATAACCAAGCCGAAGACCACAAACGTCGACAGCTTCCGCTCTCGTTGGCTCTCACAGTTACTTTTCATTTTCAATCACTCAATGTGTTCTAATGATCCAAAATCCCCAGATGCCATGATCTCTTATTTTTCATGGCAATGGTTAGTCATTCATTTCCTGTATTATCAAATACCAATCCCTTGATTTTGTTCCTTTCCGTTTGTCTCATTTTCCATGTCTTCTAATTAATGGATTTGGGCGGTGTACTGAAGCTTATCCACGCCAATATGTACATGTATATTCTTATTTATCCTGTTTGGATTAAGCTTCGTCAAATCATAATATAAATACCAAATATAAAATCTATAATAAGCATGTTAGGTACAAATTCTAAGTGTTGGATTTTGGGCGTGGTCCACCGTTGATGGATTGAACTATTCCTGATCAAAAAAATCTTAATCAATTAGGAAAAAATAAAGCACTATTAATTCTTAAGAGAAAATTAAGGGACAAGGAACGACTGCCTAGGAAGTCAATAGGCATGAAGGCCTTGATTGTGAATTGAGGAGAAATTAGCCTGGCATTAAATTTTTATTGTGAATTAAAAGGCAATCAAAAAATTATCTTGTGGAGTACTAAACAGGGGAGATTACATGTTCCTAAATTGTAGTCACCCTAATCTTATAAATAGAAGGTACCTCTTCCTTTTCTTTTCGTCTTAGTTGTTGAGTTTCTAATTATTTCTCTCTCTCATATTATATTCTTTATTGTGTGGTGCTCAAGTTTATGTTCTAATAGTATAAACTTTGTGTGAGCAACCTGTGAAGTTTCAATGACTCGAATCTAAACAAGGATCCGACCCGGTACGCATTTTTTAAGTTTATATTTATATTTCCAACAATAACGTTATGCATAAGGTGAATGTCACTTAGGCTCCAAAAGATTAGTTCAATGACAATTAGTTTTTAAGAAAAAACTTTATTGGAATATAAGTTGTTCATATCAATTTAGACATTTGTAAACATGAGAATATGCTACAATATTTTCATGTGTTTAAATTAACCTTCACAACGCATCTTTCAATAAGATTTTTTTTTTATAGCTATCATTAAATTAATACGGGTCAGAGAGTATTTTCGCCTTATAACTATTTCCTAGGAGTATCAAGTACTACCTCCGGCCCTAATTATAAGACCTACTTGATTTATTTGAGGAGATTAAGGAAGTAAGTTAAGTTAGTTATTTGTAATAAATAAGTGTTGTCATTCCTAAAATATCCTTACTAATTAAGTATATTGGCTAGAACTATCATTATTAGAAGGACTATCTTAGAAAAAAAATGCATAAATATGATAGACAGAATGGATTGGGGTCTTATAATTAAGACCAAACAAAAAGTCAAATAGAGTCTTATATTAAGAACCGCAGGTAGTATCTTAAACTTACAAATTTTGTAATGTCATTACATCATTTTTCAGGTTAAGGACTATGTTGCACCATTTGTGAATTGAGAATACCCTATGCGCAATATTTTAACCCAAATAATACTCTAGGATCCTAATGCTATCCTCTCTCTGCGTAATTTACAGAGAGCTGAGTTTGTCCTTCCCACTGTGTCTCGTGGCCCCTCCCTTCCTCAGTCTTCTAGCAGTTCACTTCATGCCTAAAATGGTCTCAGAGAGGGCACATTTCACGCCATGTTTCTCAATTTTAGGACCATTTTATGGTATTCGAACCACTTTATTAGGGGGTTTATTTTGTTTTTTCTTATCAAATATTTTGAGTAGATCGTCACATGACAATCTCTAACTAAAACTAGCCCTATAAAATTCATTGGGTCATGTGTCCAGCTTTTGGCCTCCCCAATAAAATTTAACTTCAAGCTTCTGTGTCCTTCTCCACGGCCTGCGGCCTATGAGATATTTTTAACTAGCCTGTTTTGGATTTTGCACCATTAAAGTTGATGAACCAGTTCGTTGACCTGGAATAATCCTTGAAAGAACTAGAAGAACAGTGACTGAACTTTTTTCTCAGCTCAGAAGAACGACTTCCTCTGACTGAGAACATTAAGAAGGTGGCGAAATGGGAAAACTTGGTCGGATTCTAGACACGTTTTGTCTCTCATCATCATCTAGCTCAAGTTCTTGCTTCTGTATGAATTCCATGGAGGCTAAGGATGAGAATGAGATGAAGCCCTTGGTTGCTACTGAAAGTAGTGATGGAGACCAAAAGCTCAGATTGAAGGATGTAGTTGCTGGGAAGCAGACATTGGGTTTTCAATTGAAACCAAAGGTGATGATGATCATTGATCATGATTTTTTTTTCCCCTTCTTATCTTCAATTTTCTGCAATGAAGTTTCTGTATATTTATTGCCTCACAAATCCCTCTCTTCTCTTTCTCTCTCCACTAATGCCTTGCCACGTTTGGCTTTACACTAAAGATGGATCTGTTTCTGTCTGATGAAATTACCCAGATAGTGATGTTGAAGGTTTCCATGCATTGTGATGGTTGTGCTAAGAAAGTTGAGAAGCATGTGTCCAAGTTAGAAGGTGAGTTCCAAACTATAATTAACTCATCATTGCAGTTTTACTCAATAGTTTAGAACTTTAAACTTTTGTTTTGAATTATTTCTCGCTTTCCTGGCGTTTCAAAGTCCTGCCACTTGCTATCTTAAGTTCTGTTCTTCTTGAACTTTCTGTGCCTTTTTTTAATCCTTTTAAAGTTTCAACTATACATTACACACGTTATAAAGTAAAGTTAACTTGAATTGAATTTTCAAATAAAGTGAGAATAAAAAAAGAAAAAGGTGAGACTTATTTCTATTTTTGCATGTCTATCACAAGTCTACCCTGCAGCTATAAACTCCCTTATACCGAGTGACCTCAGAGAACAATGAGCTTAGCTTGATGAAACTTGAAACAAATTGATTCCTAAAATAAACTCTCTGGGTGAAATGTTGAAAACAGAAGCAACCAGTAAATGAGGTTATGTGAGGAAAAGTCAATAATAGCCATGTTGTGAATTGTGATGACCTGAAAAGAAAGAGAGAGAGAGAGAGAGAGGGAGCAGTGTCGTATAGGAAAAAGTCAACACAATTATTGTTTATAGTCAGAATATAGTATGGTACAAGTTTGTTTTGTTGTGATATCTATTTGTGGCAGTAGTATTCTGTAACAGAGATGCTTTAATGTTCATGAACATGTCTGGAACAGGGGTGAGCTCATACAAGGTAGATCTGGAAAACAAAATGGTGGTTGTTGTTGGAGACATTCTTCCTTTGGAAGTGTTAGAGAGTGTGTCCAGGGTTAAAAATGCTGAGCTTTTGAGTTAATTCTTCATCCATGTCTCTGTCATGTTGTTTGAATTATTGAGTGCATATTAATCCTTTTGCCTACCCTACTTTCTTTATGCAATTCTCTTGCAGGATAGCAATATTATTTTATTAGGAGTTTTGAATCTTAGACTTGTTGCCAAATACTACCTCCGGTCCTAATTATAAAAGCCAGTTAGTTAATTTGAGGAGATTAAGGAAGTAAGTTGAGTTAGTTATTTGTCTTAAATAGGTGTTGTCTTTTCTAAAATATCCTTGCTAATCAAGTGTATTGACTGGAACTATTATTGTTAGAAAGGTTATTTTAAAAATATATATATATAAATATGAGATAAAGTGAATTGGGATCTTATATTTAGGACTAAAATAAAAATCAAATAAGATCTTATATTAAGGACCGGATGTAGTATTTTTTTTTTTTGCCATAATTCCTGCACTTATTATATTTTTCATAGGAGGTTTAAAGCACAATATCACACTTAAAGAAAAATTTAAAAGAGACGTTTGGTGTTATTGAGTTATAAGATCCTGACGCTTGTTGCCAAGTATTTTAATTTCTTATATCATGTCTGGTTAGGTTATTGTTATGATATCAGTGCGGCTTCCTTAGTTTTCCGTACCTCACAAGAAGGATTTCTAACTACTAAACTGGATTAGGGCGTTGATAGGTCCTATAGTTTTTTTTTTGTTTTTTAATTTACAGAGTTTGAAATTACGCTTGAAATATTTTCCACTTGATGTCATATAATTTAATAATATATTCCCTCTGATTCTTTTTTTTTTTTGGCTAACTATCTAATTCTAAATATAAAAATTAGATAACGGTTTATTTTAATTTTAAATGTAATATTTCAATTTAATTTGTCTTCTAAATCTATAACACTTTTTCAAACTATTGTTATTAATAGGATATATTAAAAGGGAAGCTTTTTTTATTATCAATAATATTTTGAATGCAAATTAATAAAAAAAATATTGTTGGGAATTAACATATACTGTTAAAAATAATTAACTCAGCTCACTTTTTTAATTGTTACAAAGTAATTATATAACACTCACACTTTGAAATTAGAAGAAGTAGCAAGTCACCCTCACTTCTTAGTAGCAAATGAACATTTCCCTTTACCTTGATATTTTATAGGAAATAGTTGATACTTCATTCTCTTTTTAATTTTCGGTTAAATAAAAATAATGCAAGAATCAAATAGAAATTAAAAGACTTTAAATGCAGAGCCATGCAACGGATCAGGTGGGCCAATGTTTTGGGCCTCAGGAGTCTATGGCCTTAAAAGTCAACACAGGATCGGTTCACAACCGTCGATTCCTTATCCACTTTCATACAAAATCATCAGAAAATAATGATAGTTGGATGGTAGTAAGTTGTCATGAATCCGTTGACGTGTGAAAAGAAAAACAAAATCGCTTTATATTAATTCCTCATTTTCTTAATATAAGAGTTAGTTGATTAATTTGAATAAATTAAAAAAAATAATTAATTAAATTATCTGTAATAAATAGGTACTTTCCTAGTTTCTTTTTTAAACTATATTTACTAATCAAGTGTATTGACTAAAATTATTATTATTACAAGAATTACTTTGAGAAAAAATAAATAAATATAAAAGATAGCATATATTACCATCTTATATTTAATATCAAAATAAAAATCAAATTAAATTTTATATTAAAAACCGGAGATTTATTCCAGGTTTCGCAATCAACCAGGCCGCCACGACTTCTCGTTCGACCATGGCGGCGCGTACCCCACCGGGTGCAAACAGAGCTCCCAACGGCCCAACCCCAATAACGTCGCCGGAAAAGTTGGACAGCGTTGAATCTTTTTTAGTGAGTCAGGCCGTATTGCCGTATTGGATGAGAGCCTTCACAGCTGTCAACCCGATGGAAGCTCGGGCCTAAAACCATGCTAACTTTAGGTTTGCCCCGGTACAAAATGATTTTATAAAAGTGTTAACAAATTAAAAGAAAAACGAACATTTAATTTAATTTAGTGCATGAGATATTTTCTTTTTCCGAAATTATTGCATGAGATATGCTATCAAGGAAATCAACTAACATTCATAAAAAGCCATAAAAACATATTTTCTTTTCTTTTCTTTTCTTTTTGATTTGATCACACATGTATTCTTTTTTATTGATAATTAAACTTTACATAAAATAAATGTATAAAGTGCGTTAGACAGCAGGATTTTAGAGACCACGTACCCGAAATGCTATGCCTTCCTCATTGAAACCCTTCAAACTATATTCCACGTGGCCTTACCCATTAACCTAATAAATCATGGGTAGATATAGCTGAAGAAGAGAGCTGAGATACTGATCTTCTACTGTTTGACCCAACTTTTTAAAATCCTATAGAACAAGCAAAATGGTTAAATCATACTACCTTTTGTTTATCTTATTTGATTTTTATTTTGATTCTAAATATAAGACCTCAATTCACTTTGTCTCTCATATTTATGTATTTTTTTCAAAGTAATCTTTCTAACAATGATAGTTCTAGCCAATACGCTTGATTAATAAGGATATTTTAAGGCAAACAATACCTATTTGTTATAAATAACTAATTTAATTTTTTTCTTAATTTTCTCAAATTAATCAACTAGTAGTATCTCTTATAATTAGAATAGGAGATAGTCTCAAACTATTGTCCCTAACACTAATTTATTACTATTATAAGGGAGGGGTCTCCGCAAGGTCATCCAGAAATGCGACAAGTGGCCCAACAAGGAAGAAGATAAATACGTTAATTTTTTAATTGTTTCTTAAATAATTTATCCTCTCTTTTGCAATTTAATAAATCATATTATATTTGTTTGCTACCCTCCCATTTCAGTTTTCCCACGTTTTTTTTTCCGGAAATATTTCAATTTACCTAATTTTTTATTCATTTTTTAAATAATTTATGAATTTTAATTTTTAGCTTGATTTATCCGAAATTTGTGGCTGATGGGCAGTTTAAAATAAACCATATAGACTCTAAATAAATGCACCAATTTTTTAATCATTTTGAAATAAAGAGTCATCTCTTTTACTAATTAATAAATCATTTAATAATTGTTTTATTATTGCATATATTGGTTTCCCCACGTTTAAGATCATGCAATATGGAACGTGGGTTGATTATTTCATTGTAAGTAATATTTGTAAATATTGGTTGGCCTGTACGCATGAGGAAGCGGAGGTGTTTTTGCGTATTAAATATAAGGACGAATTTTATTTTAATTTGTTTGCTAATTTTTTTTATAATATTTATATTTATTATAACTGTTATAATTTTTGTATACTAAATTTAAATCATTAAATAATAGGACTATTATAAAAGAAATTATTACGAATTCTTACATATTGATTATAAACCATTATTGTAACTCTTTTCCAGATTTTATGAATTAGTTAAGAAATTATATTTAAGGAGATGAGTAAATGAAGTGCTGAAAGTGGAAGTAATTAAATATATAGAGGATGGGATTTGATGTTCATATCATAGTGTTTTGATCTTATTTATCAGGTAGAGAAAGTGTGTTTTTTAATTTATACATCAGACCATTAAATTTTTTTTTAAAAGACACATATTAAATATAGACAAAATTAAAAAATTAAAATTTTTCTCGATTTTAATTAAAACATATGGAAAATGACTTGCTAGTACGTGGATATAGCAATAAAAGTGAGCAATTAATAGTAGCAGAGAGGGAGGCAGCAACAGAGATTGGAAACGAGGAATGATGCTGGGGATGGCCAACAGGGAAATGACAGCATAAAGTAAGCAAAGAAGTCCTCGTACGGATGAAAGATGATAGCAAGTTAGCAACAGCCAACAAGACGTATTAATACATATATCTGCCACATTCATAATCATACAGGGAGGATGACGCCGAGCCTGCTCGTGACATGTCATGCCTTCAATTCACTGCCAGCATTTCACTTTTCTTGTTTTCTTTTTTACCTATCCATAATTATCTTATTAAAAATAATCTGAGAATTTTTTTTTTTTACTGAATTCAATTCCCCTTGATGTTAACTTCCCTTTTATCTCCTCCTCCCTTGATTTGACTCCTTACCAAACCATAGCCCGAAGCGGGAAAGGCGGGTACCCTTTAACGGGCTATGCTTTTTTGAAAAACTGAGTCTAAAAAAACCAAATCATAATTTACAAAATAAATTTTGTTAAGAATATATTTTGTAAAAAAATGATTCTGATAAAATAAGAGTGTTTGGATAATTATTATCAGAAACACTTTTCATATATGCAAATTATTTAAAAAAACATAAGTTAAAATGATAATTACATAAAAGATAGATTTTATAATATATTTTAATTTGAAAGAATAAAATTGTTAATGATATATTTTTTTACCAACATAATTAATAATATACAAGATAATGTAACTAATAAATAATTAATATGTGTATATATATTTATAAAATATAAGATTAAATATATTTATAAAAAAATTGAGAGGTGTTAAAGTCATATTATTGTTGAGATATACTCTAACAGGCACAATCATACTCTCCAATTTGAATCAGAAGCATAATGGATTCACTTTTTTTTTGAAATTATGATTTTGAAGCCCAAAACCGCGGTTTGCTAATTTTTCCTTCTGTTTGACAAATTTGGTTTGGATCTCAAAACTATAGTTTCATCGTATTACCAAACAGGCTCTAAAAGATAAAAACTCGCTTATCTTAAAATATTTTTAAAATTGAAACCTTGGACCTTAAATTTATGGGCTTACGCTGGGCCTGGAGTTTTAGGCCTTTTTAAATTTTTAAATAGACAAAAATTAAACTAAAAATCTCATCAAATATTTCATTCAAATAATAGGTATTGGCAAGTTAAAGTATCAAACTAAATCTAAAAAATTAAAATTAAATTAGATCAAACCGTTATCCTAAACACTAATAAAAAAATTTCATCCATAATCACATGAATATCTTAATATTTTTGCATTACGTTTATGTAATTTATAAAGAATAAAAACCATTTAAATAAATAATACTAGTAGCTAGAGACAATATTAAACAAATATAATTATCAAAATGGTTTAAGAAAACTTCAAATGAAAAAGAATCAAGATTGGCTTTAACTA